TCTAAAGCAGGAGAGACCTGGGTTTTACGTGCTCAAGCATAAATATTTCTATAGAATAACTTGTCGTCGCTAAAGGACAAGGTGCTTTTAAGGAACTGCTGGATGGTGCGGTGTTCGGGACACACGTACGTTGGGTAGTAATCTTATTAAAGACTGCTGTTTCTAACGTGGAGTTGATTTAATTTAGCAGCATCTAGAAGCACAACAGGAATCTCGTGCGATCACTCCTCAAGCAAAGTATTGGCTTGGCACTTCAGCGTTACTGCCTGTGGAAATAGCTGTGCCAGCGGTAGCATATCCGAAGAGCCAAAGCCCTTCGGCTTTACGTGCCGCTTCCGAAACAGAGCTGCTTAGCGTTTCCCCAGGGGGTCTTACGCAGGTCGTGTTCCACTCGCTTCTGAAATGGTATTCGTAAGGCCTCTTCCGAGAGGAATCTGTCGGAATTGCTTCCTGAGCAGCAAATTCCTGCTTTCCTAAGTGTCCGTTACAGAATTGTGGAGTGTTACGGGCTTTGGGGGGTTGTCTCAGCAGCACCCACTTCTTTCCTAAAAGGGAGAGGGGTGCCGTAACGAAGTGTTTGCGTTCTGCTAAGTGATACCATGTGGTGTTCCCAAGTCCATTGCCTATTTGTAGATCCGGAGTGAGTCACGTTCCCATTACACCATCTTTCTACTCGCTGAAACCCCTTTGGGACAGGTTTAGGTTCGATTCCGAGGCAATCAGTGGTTTTGCCTTAGGTTTTAACGTGTGCTTTTTACCTTAAGACTCGTCTGGTCAAATGAAGTGTTAAGGGTCTGCTCAAATGTAGTCTTTCTCTCAGCAAAGCACTGTAAGCAATTAGCTATATTAATATTTGTGCAGGCAGGATCTAGTTTTTGGAGCTGGCTGCGTCTGCCGTGCAGTGTAAGCTCGCTCGTGATTGCGAGGCCACGGCTGGAGGGCAGAGGCTCTGCTGGAGGAAGAATATTCACGGCTGGGAAACTGTAAATACTCTTCCAAGTTTCCTTCGTCTTCCTGCTGTTAAACGTTAATGGTGTGAATGTGCCTGTGGCAGTCCGAAATCCAGGGCTGGCTGTTTACCATGGGCCTCTGGGTGAGCGGGGAGAGGCTAACAGGAGGCAGGCTTTGGGATATTGCCCAAATCTATCATTTCAAGGGTTTTATTAAAAAACCCCAGCCCTGTTCTGGCAGCTGGTCGGGTTTCTGACTGATCACCTCAGCTGGTTTTGCAGAGAAGACAACTTGCTGGACAGTTGTTACTCAAATGTGTGTGGATGGACCTGCCAGAACACGGTCTGAAGGTGACAGTGTTAAGGTGAAGGTCTCCTGGATTGCCTAAACCAGCCTTGGAATACGGTTCCCACCTCCATGTCCCAGAGACTGTGCGAATAAATGTTTTTGTCCTGGGTTTTAGAAAAGAAGACTTTTACCCCTACCTCCCCACCCCGGGAAAAGGGACGCGCTCCAGTTGTGTGGCAGGATGCTGGAGGGGGAGGGATGCTGGCCTTGGTGCTCGCATCCTTGGCGAGTGGCTGTGTGGTGGCCCAGCTTCTCTCCTGCCTTCTGGGTCTTTAGGGTGTCTTGCAGGACCGTGCACGTGGGGCTGGAGGGGTTGGAGCCTCCCAAAACCCCATGATGAGAACTGGAGGAAGTAGTTCTCGGGCAGCCCAAGCAGAGGGTAAGGTGACAGCCTTGGTGTGCTGCTCGCAAACACCAGACGTGGCTGGTCTGGGGGGTTTCTTGCCCTTAAAGCATGGTGTGTAGGGCTGAGAGAAGGTGTGACTCCATTGCCAAAGCAGATTCCTAGTTACCTTCCCTGGAAGATATTGGTATGGGGGTACAGGCGTGAGCTGCTGTGGAAGCAGGTGGTGAGTTAGTAGTGGCTGGAGGAAGAGTGTGGTAGTGAACTGGGAGAGATGGAGCTGGGATGGAGCAAGCTTCCACCTTCTGCTTTCCTGAATGTCCCCAAAGCATGTCCTGATGGGACATCAGGAAGGAATTCTTCCCGCAGAGGGTGGGGAGCATTGGGACAGGTTGCCCAGGGAAGCTGTGGATGCCCCATCCCTGGGAGTGTCCAAGGCCAGGCTGGATGAGGCTGGGAGCACCCTGGGCTAGGGAAGGTGTCCCTGCCCATGGCAGGGGGGTTGGAACTGGATGATCTTTATGGCCCCTTCCAACCCAAACCATTCCATGATTCTATGATTCAGCATTCCGCTGGGCCAAGCGCTTTTGCATATGTACCCAACGGACTTCATCAGGGACAGCCGTGGCCTGACGCTTTATGGTCACCATACAGAGAGGGTCATCTCTGAGGGTCTCTTCCAGTATTTTAAAGGGCTTATTTGAATTCAGACTAACTGCTAAATGAGTCAAAAAGACCTGTAATAGCAAATCTGATGGGAAATGTCACGGGGATTTGAGCAGTTTGTACCAGGCAGAACATCCTGACTACCTGGAGGATGTCGGTGCTTTCTGTATCACCATGGAGTCCGCTGAGTAACGTTAACGGGATACACGAGTGCGGCTGGTAGTCCAGCAGCCTTCAAAATGCACGATTTCACCAGGGCAATTAGCAACTGATTAGCATCAGGAGGAGGAAAAACATCCCAAAGCTTTAATGGAGCTCGTCCCTGAGCGATGGCTGGCACCCCTTAGCAACCGGGGCGGGTTGCCTGGGATTCTTTGGTGAGGTGTCCCAGTGACTTGGGACCCTCGGATTTCTAGTCGTTTCCAGCTGGCTGTAATAGATGGGAGAGCAGGAAACTGGGAGTCGTAGAAACTAGCCTGGAAAGTGCCGTTTTCAGTGCGATTTGCAAAGAAATGGTGAATCAATGAGGCAGAAGCGATGGGAGGAGGATTTTAACAGCGCTCTCAGCAGTGAAGGTGGGGGATGGGAGAAGGGGAGACAAATGGTGTATAGAGACACCACAAAAAAAGAAGGTTTGGGGCTGTTTTGTATTCCACACGCCTTGACTTTCCGGTTTTATTTGGAAACACAAGGCCTCGTGGAGCTACGTGGAGGCAGGAACCGCGTCGCGGTGTGTTTTCCATTTGCTGTTTTGTGCCCAAACGAGAGGTTGCAGCACGGGGTGTGGCGTTACCCAACGACACGTTTGTCTCCCAGAGCGGCTTGGCAGGTTTTATCGCCGCCCGCAGAGCTGGATGTGGCCAGATCCGTGGGATCGCTCGGTCTCTTTTTAATTCACGATCCGCAATCCATGGTAAACGTGGCAATATCCCTCTTGTCAGGTTGAGAAGACCCCCTGACTTTTTTTAAACTCAGGTCTGAACCTGCCTTTGAGGGTTTGTCGCTGGTTCCCTCTTTTTTAACGACGGAATCTCCCTGAAATTAGTGTGGGAGGGTGTTTTTTGTGGCGGTTTGGGGTTGGTTTTTTTGAGGCATGTGGGTTGGTTCTAGGGTTGCGTTGGGGTGGGAGGAAGGACGAGACACCCAGGAGCTGTTGTGGAGGGATCAAACGTGAGACAAGCGAGAACACACAACGCGATCAAAGATAGGCCGTGTGGTTCCAGGAATGAGAGGTCATGCCTTGCCGACTGGTTGGAATTCCTGAAGTGAGTTGCTGCCAAGAGTAATATGGATTTTGGTGTGTTTTTTGGGGAGGGTAGCACTGGGGACTAATTCTGTAGGGACTGGTGGACTCCGAAGGTTTATTTTAGTGAAGAAAACAGATTCCACCAAAAAAAATCCCCAGCCTGCAGGAAGAGGAAAGATGGAATAAGGGGGGAAGTGAGATTAACAGGGGGAAGCTGGTGGGTTTGTCTTTGGTTTTGAGCTTCAGTTCGTCATCTCTGACCTCCTGAGACACGGAAAAGGAAAGCGAAGCCTCTGCTCGACCCCGAGCGTAGCCAATGCCAGAGTTAAGCCTTTGGGAGCCGGTTGTGCAGGGGTGACCGGTGTGACACCTGGGGCCCTGGTCTGCTCGATGGCGGGAGATCGTTTTGGTGCCTACCCGGACGCGTGCGTCGTGCTGCCCCAGCCGAGGGCCGGTGAGGAGGCAGCGAGCTCCGAGAAGCTCTCAGGGGGCGAGTTCTTGGCTCGGGACGTGCGTTGGCACGGTGGGAAGCGTAGCCTGGTATCTCTCTGCAGAGGATGGGCACGTGTGTAGGTTAGATAACTTAAGGTCACGGCGATGGTGTAATAATCGCTTCCCGTGGTGAAAAGCTCTTCTAGAAAACCCACAATGTTTGGCAGCGGTTGGGTTTCACAGGTCCACGCTCCCACACAGTTCTGTGGGCAGACAGGGAGAAGAAGAACCTGTGTATCATCTCCTCCGAGAGCTGTTACAGCCTGGAGTCTAGCTCCAAAGGCACCTTCTGGGAGACGCTTCCCTCCTGTCCGGTGTTCTTGACTGGTTTTCGTCCTTGCGCTGTGAGGGACATAGGGAATTCCTCAGGCACCAGAAGGAAGAGGGAAGGCAGGGCTCTGCTTTGCCTGCATTTCCCAGCAGGGAAAATAAAACTGGCCTTTAGTTGTTCATACCCGTTTCCCGATAAATCTCACCACAGTCTCTTCTGAAAGCGGGGAGGTTTAGATTAGATATCAGGAAGGAATTCTTCCTGGAGAGGGCGGGAGCA